AGAAAATTATTATGGGAGGACAGGGTGTGTATCACGGTGAGAGAAGAGTGCCAGGGGCCTCGTGCACTGTGTATTTAACCTTCATATTTCAAGGATTTCCCACTTCGACACCACACAGGCCTCAGTTCTACAGGGCTGCCCTTCAAGACCCTCCCACTACTGCGCCTCCCCACCATTCTTGAGTATTCTCCACTCCTAGAGCCTGATGAATTTCCCTAAGCTCCCCATTTCAGCACACAGATTGTCCTTTATCTGGAGCCCACTCAAAGGCAGAACTGGGATTTGGGTACCGTGGCAGATCTGCTGGGGGACTTTTTTCAGATTTTCCTGATTCTGGCCCCTGGTGGAGACAAATGAGCTGGGGTAAAGTTGCAGCCTGCCTGATCCATGCAGGAATCCCTTAACTTGGGCCAATAATCAACACGATTCCCTCTGAACACTAAAATAACAAGGCTTTCCGATCATTTTGCCATTGCTAAGTTGTATTTACAAAGGTCATCATATTTTATTGTTATCAGCCATTATATCGGTCACGATATGCTAGTTTTGCTGCAGTTACAGACTCAAACCTCAGTGGGAGATTTGATGCTGTACATTCAATGAATGGTGGGCGTATTTGTGGATCACAGTCCTCTGAGACCCAGGCTAACCAAGGATTCCACAACCCTAGCACCAGTTGGGGGGAACACGATGATTTGTACATGGAGTCCTCAAGCAGCTACCAGCTTTAACAAATAAAATAAAAAGAGAAGTCACATTCCATTTGCCACAGCAAGTCACGTGGCCACATTTAACTTCAAAGGGAGGGGAAGTGAAATCCTCTCTCGTCCCTGAAGGCAGATTAGTGAACTTCAGTCATGACTACCACGACCATGCCCTCTGGAATCATTATAGTCACATGAGAGTTGAAAAACTCAGACTAGTAAGTCACTTTTCCAAAGTCACACAGTCAGGAAGTTAGCAGAGCAAGGCTCCACGTGCACATTTGTTAAACCCTAAAACCCATGTGCCTTTCACAGCCTGTTGTGTTGTCTTCATGAAACCATTATCCAGAGGAGGGTTCTTATTAGCTTCAAGGGAACTTCACATGCAGAGCAGTAAAAAGTTTGACCCGTCCAATTAGCTTAATCAATTAAAAAGAAACAATGTGTTTCTTTTTTCTTTCCTTTTGCAACAACTTGTTTTTAAAAAGAAGGAAAGAAAGATGGATGGAAGGAAGGAGGGAGGGAGGCAAAGAGAGAGAAAGGAAGAAAGAGAAAGGAAGAAAGAAAGAGAAAGGAAGAAAGGAAGAAAAAAAAGAAAGAGAAAGAAAGAAAGAAAACCAAGCCTTTTGGCCCACCCATTGACCTACACCACAATATCTGACTGCATGTCAGGGTGATTTGCTTTATTTCCCACTGTGTGGTATTTTCCACTCACAGGACTGGGTCAGGAGAAGTTTGTATCTTAATCTACACACTTGTTCTTGCTCATGTTTGCCTCTGCTTGATCCCATCCCCTTCATTCATCCTTTGGAATGTTCCCGTGACAACAGAAGAACGGCAATATAGCTAGCCAGACTAAAGGGACGGACCAAGCACACAGCCTGACTTCTCTTAGACTGAGGATGCTAACGGGGATGGCCCAGAGCACGAGACTGTTCTCTCCCCATTCCCCACCTTCAGAGAAGTCAGCAGTGAGTGAGTGTCAGGCCTGCTCTGCAGAGGAGGAAACTGAGGCTCAGCATGGTTGAGCGACTGCTCAAGGTCACAAAGCTAGTACCCAGATGGAAACCAGGTGCTATTGTTTCTTCCCAAATCACTGCTTTGTTTTCTGTCCATTCTACTCTGCAGCCTTCCAACTCTCCTCCTCCTAGGAAACCTGCCCCCGAAGCATGCAAACAATGCAGTGCTCCTCTGCCTCCTCTGATGCCTTCCACCTCCATATGGGCTGCTCGCTGGCAGATACAAGGATAGGTACAGCTCTTTCCAATGGAGACATGAGAGGTGAGGTGGCCACTGTAGGGCTCAGGCTGCTGGGCCCTGGAGGTGGGACCCGTCCCTGTGCCGTAGAAGAAATGCTTCTCAGACCTTGGAACTCTTCCAGAACAAACCTGATGTTCGTAGAAGAGGATTTCTGGCAAGAGGTTGAGTTCTGGAAAGCGGCATGGGTAATAGCAGAGACTGTGGTCCATACTGCTGGGTGAAGCTTTGGGACAAGCCCATGAGGGAGGAGCCGCCGGCTTCTATCTTAACTCCAAAGAAGAAAAGGAATAACCTGATTAGATTAAACATGCTTTGAGCAGGGAAGATCCTTAGCTTTCATGTGTATGACATTTGTAATCCAAGATATCCTTAGTAGTTTCCATGGCTATTTCTGACAGCCTGAGGCCCCTGGTTTTCTCCACCCATGGACTTCCAAGGGGACAGGACAATGGGAAGGGGCTCACTGGAATAGCTCAAGGCCCACCAGAGGGGTTCTTATTTCAGATCGACCACATACTCACGGTGTGAATGTCTGCAACTGTTTTTTTTTCCCCCGGGCCTCTGTTTTTTAATCTGAATAAAAGAAAATATTCTCTTCCACCTCTAGAATTCTGAGATCTTACATTAGGGAAAGATGAACTTAAGAAGGAGCTGGCCTTGAACACTGATCCTGTAGCTTTTGGATGAACATCTAATTCCAGAGGAACAGAGGAGCCATTCTGGGCTCACCCACTCAGGAGTTCTCTCTTGCTACCCAGATCAACAAACACAGCAGCTCTGTCAATGTCCCAGTGACTCAAGACACGGTTGTTGGGAGTTTTGTCCTGAAGCCATGATGTGGCACGATACTTCATGGTAATTCTCTGCATTACAGGGAGTAAAAGAAGCTATTCCAAATGCAGTTTGAATTTTTTTTAAAAAAAGAAATCACATACTTCTCTCAGTATGTCATCTTTTCCCAGATGGATCCAAAATGAGCCACATAATTTCCCTGTTGCAGCGTTTCTGAGAGATTCGTGGATCTGAGAACCGGAAGGGGCTGCAAGAGGTGGTGTGAGCCTGTCCCATTCTCTCCCAACAGGTATAATTAGGTTCTTGCCATTCCATAGAGGAGGCGGCTGCAGTTCAGAGGTTGGTGACTTCTGCGATGGGATGGCCAGAGTAATGGTGGTATAGTGTTTGGGGGACTAAGTGCTTTCTTTTATGACACCACACTGCTGCTCCTAAGCAAAAGTTTCCACCATTACAGACAGAGTGGTGAAAGGAAACATTATAAGAAAAAAAAGCTGGGCGTTGTGGCTCATGCCTGTAATCCCAGCACTTTGGGAGGCTGAAGCTGGTGGATCACCTGAGATCGGGAGTTTGAGACCAGCCTGATCAACATGGGGAAGGAAACCCCGTCTCTACTAAAAAATACAAAATTAGCCAGGAGTGGTGGCACACGCCTGTAATCCCAGCTACTCGGGAGGCTGAGGCAGGAGAATCGCTTGAACCCAGGAGGCGGAGGTTGCAGTGAGCTAAGGTCATGCCATTGCACTCCAGCCTGGGCAACAAGAGCAAAACTCCATCTCAAAAAAAAAAAAAAGGGGGGAATGTGGGTTGCAGGAACACTCTGGCGGCATTGTCTGGTGAGCCATTGCAACTGGCACATAGTAGGTGCTCTGTGTGCTGAAGAGAGGCAGGATGAAGGTGAGTGAGGAAAGACAAGGCCATGAGGTTGGAGACTGCATGACTTTGTTGTTTGCAGTGCCCTGGTTTTGCACATAAGCCGTATCTGGCCAGTGTTCACTGGATATGCCCTATCTCTGAGATTTTATAAAAATTAATTCATTCAACAAGAAAACCAGTTTGCTGAAGAGGGAAAATTGCCAACAACGCCAAGGTGCCAGCAATTTCAAGCACAATGTAAGCTGATTAGCCTCCAGCAGAGAAACTGCTTCGTGGCTGAGCTCTCCCACCCTGCACCAGTGGTCTTGGAGATTTGCAGTCTTGGTCACAAGAGGTACCAGGCGGCAGTGTGAGCAATGGGTGAAGGACAGGACCTCATTAGGAGAGTCTCCCAGGAAGAGGGCAGACGCAGGACATTCTTTCAGAATGATGGATTTGCTTTAGTTTGCATTTATTTTTTTTTATTACAAGAGAATTATGGAATGATGCTTTTGTATTATTATTTTTTTTTTTCTTTTAAGAACAAATGGGCTTTTTGCCCCTTTCTCCCTTTGGAAAAACACAGATCTGATTACATCAGCCCCTGTTTAAACCCCCTTAGAGGGTTCCTCTTGCTCATTTGAAAATGATACAATTGGGCAGGGTGTGGTGGCTCAAGCCTGTAATCCTAGTACTTTGGGAGGCTAAAGTGGGCAGATCACCTGAGGTCAGGAGTTCGAGACCAGCCTGGCCTGGAAATAAGGTCATTGCAGATATACTTAGTTAAGATGAGGTCGCTAGGCAAGATGGCTCACGCCTGTAATCCCAGCACTTTGGGAAGCCAAGGCAGGTGGATCACCTGAGGTCAGAAGTTCAAGACCAGCCTGGCCATCATGGTGAAACCCCGTCTCTACTAAAAACACAAAAATTAGCTGGGCGTAGTGGTGGACACCTGTAATCTCAGCTACTTTGGAGGCTGAGGCAGGAGAATCTCTTGAACCCAGGAGTTGCACTGAGTCGAGATTGTGCCACTGCATTCCAGCCTGGGCAACACAGCAACACTCTGTCACAAAAAAAAAAAAAAAAAAAGAAAAGAAAAGATAATAACACAACTCATAAAAATGGCCATAAGCAGCACTGGCATGGAATAGAATTGCAGAACACTGCTTTCTCAATCATTTATAAAATGATGTATTTCCATACCAGCTAGTCAACAGCCACTACCTCAAGCTGTCCCGTACTTCTTCCCGGGGCTCTGGGAACCCCGGGTCTCCCAAAGGCCTCCAGGACAGCAATGGGCTCCAGGGCCTGCTACAGCCAGAGTCCTGTATCTGCTCTGATGGGATGGGCCCAGTAGGCTCTGCACAGTCAGACCCCAGGCCACCCCGCCTCGCTTCCCCACCTTCTCTCTCTTGTGGATTGTGAGGCAACATAGCCCTTCTGCCCCTTGAGCGTGCTCTGCCTTCCTCAGGGCCTTTGCAAAGGTGCTTCCTTCTATCTAGAACAGTCTCCCATGCTATTCCCTTTGACTCTGGGTGACTTTTCTCATTCTCCTTTTAGTCATTCATAGTTGGCCTTAGTAAATATAGGACAGATGGGGAGCGTCTGATCAGTCCTGCTGGCAGAGAGGAGGCACTCGCACACCAGCACATGCTGCAGATCTCCATTGTTCTCGCCTGGTTAATCATCTCCAGGAGAAGAAAGGGAGCCTGTGGGCTGGAGGCTGCCAGGCCCGCCTTCTCCTTCTCTCTGCAAGTCCTAAGGAGAAGCAGCCTCCGATCTGGGTTGTGCCTCTTGGCTGTGAGTGTTATCATTTACAAAGAGGAAAAGGGGAAATAATCTGAATATCTGGGATTCCAAAAGTTGTCCTGTACCAGGTAACAAGTACCTTCCTATCTCCGCTGACCAGATTCAGGGTGAGAAAGAGGATGAGAGCAAGAGTGAAGCAGAAAAGGGAAAGAGCATGAGATAACCTCAAGTGTGGCCTGAAGACTCCCTGACACTTCCTGGGAATCCTTGACATTCTGTCTGGAAACCATTTTGCTCATGTCCTCAGAGCTGTGGCTGCAGGATTTTCTCGTGCCCAGTTGTGGGTTACAGGTCAAGTAGAGAGTCAGCCCCAGGCAGGGGCACGAGAACTCGGACTGTAGGTCAGCATCCCAGAGTCCCTGAAGGAGGGAAGAAAAAGGACTGGGTTAAGGAGGCCAGCAGGGGAGGGCATTTGCCCTGAGATTCTTAGAAACAGTTCAAAATAACAGCAGGCTGACCAGCTCTCAAAGTGTTCTGTTTTGTTTACCATGCTTCCTTTATTTTCTTATTATGTGCTGGGCACAGGCTTGCCTTGACTTTACAGTTCACAGAGGTTTACAACCAGGAAAATGAAAGGCACGGTTTTACAAGCTTTGTGATGGATCCTGGTACCTTCTCTGGAGCCTGAAATTAGGGGATTGAATGCAGGTCCATTTTCATCCTACCTCCAAATGCTGGCAGAGTAAGGAATGCTACTCTAAATGCTAGCAGAGTGGCTTCCTTCCCTGCTGGGACACAACTCTCTGGAACACAGGCAAACAAACTCCCCTCTCAGGCAATCTCAGTGCTTGTAAGTGAGGAAACTGTGTTCTCCAAAAGTTTACCCCAAAGGGTCCATCTGACTGTCCGGCATTGCCTTCTTGTAATCTCTTCACACTTTGCTCTTATTCCAGTTCCATATGCTCTGAAGTCCCAGGAAGTTGCTCTCAACAGTGAGCCATTCATTCCTCAGACATTTGGGAGCCCTCACCACCTGCAGACGCTGTGCTGCAGGCTGAGAACCACAGGAGAAATGGCTGAACGCTCTGTGGGTGTGGTTCTAGGCAGGGACTGGTCAATGACTGGGGTTATGACAGTTTTCTATAGGGTGTCGTATGTATCATTTTTCATCTTAACTAGGACAAGAGAATGAAGGGGGGCACTATTAATAATTCATAATAATAATGGGACCACAGGTGTGAGCTAGAGCTGTCTTACTAGACAGAGCTGACACATGACAGAGGGGTTATGTTTCTTCTCTGTCCCTTTAGGAGCTGCCTTTAAGGCCAACGGATAATAATCACAGGGCAAAAGGTTTCAGGTCAAAATTAAAACAGACTTTCTAACAAGGAGCCTCTAAAAACAATGTGGGCTTTTTTTTTTTTTTTTTTTTTTTTGTGATGGAGTCTCGCTCTGTCGCCCAGGCTGGAGTACAGTGGCGCGATCTTGGCTCACTGCAACCTCTGTCTACCAGGTTCAAGCGATTCTCCTGTCTTCCTGTCTCAGCCTCCCAAGTAGCTGGGACTCCAGGTGTGTGCCACCACGCCAGGCTAATTTTTGGTATTTTTAGTAGAGGCGGGGTTTCACCATATTGGCCAGGATGGTCTCGATCTCCTGACCTTGTGATCCACCCACCTCGGCCTTCCAAAGTACGGATCAAGTGAATGCACCCAGCCAACAATGTGGGCTATCTTATGAGGTAGTGAGCAGTTCATCACTTCAGATATGCAAAGGGGTGACCCACCCTCCAAGATGCTGTGTACAGATGACACTGACATGCCAGGCAGGCCCCCAGCCTAGGTAACCACAGGTCAGCCTCTGACTGTGATCTGAAGCACCTATTCTTCCTGGCTCTGTCTTCCAGTGAGGGTTACTAAGCTATTTTATACGCAAAGATCAAATCCTGCTCCTCTGATTCATATGTAACAGACACATTTGGATAAAAGTACAAATATAATAGAACTGAAAGATCAAAACTTGCTGCCTTAGCATACTTAATATTCACTGATGCTTACACATAATGTAAATATCTCTTTGTTTAAAATGAGCATAGGCTGGGCTCTGTGGCTCACGCCTGTAATCCCAGCACTTTGGGAGGCCAAGAAGGATCACTTGAGCTCAGGAGTTTGAGACCAGCCTGGGCAACATAGCAGGACCTCCTTTCTACTAAAAATAAAATAAATAAATAAATAAATAAATAAACAATTAGCCAAGTGTGGTGGCGCATGCCTGTACTCTCAGCTCCTTGGGAGGCTGCAGTGAGAGGACTGCTTGAGCCCAGAAGGTGGAGGCTGCAATCATGCCGCTGTACTCCGGCCTGGGTGACAGAGCAAGACCCTGCCTCTAAATAAATAAATAAGTAAATAAAACAAGTATTGTCTTGACTTTAAAGACTTTCCTGTGACATATCAGCAAAATATGGTCAAAACAATTTGACCAAGGTTGGAATGGACTGGAATCGCTTCTGAGGAGCCAGCCTAGGTCTGTTGAATCAAGTTTGCTCACTAATAATCATACTTTGATTATGTAGGATGTTAATATTAGAGGAAGAGGGTGGGGGAATATAAGGGAACTCTTTGTACTATTTGTTAAACTCGTTTAAAATGATTTTGAAATTAAAAAATACAAAACCACATCCTTTGCTCCTGAGCCCTGTTCACCCCAGACTTTATTGGATGAACTCACCCCATTCTTTAAGATTCTGCTGAGCAGAACATCCCAGATTTCCTGTCTTGAGGCGGGCACAACTACATGAGCTCCTAAATACTTCTGCATATACCTACCACCTACTGGTATGGTTTCTGACTATATTTCATCCTCTTCACCTTACATGGAGTTTCTTTTAGAATGGAAAGTTTCCTTCCTTTCATCTTTGAATCCTAGCACCAAGGCCACACTCAGCACCAAATAATTTAATTCAATCCTGTTTGAACAAGTCTTATTAGTTTTGCCTTCTTTTAAAAAAAGTATGGTGAAATGTACATAACATAAAAATTTCCATTTTAGCCATTTTTAAGTGTACAATTCAGTGACATTAAGTACATACTAAAGTTGTGCAGGCTTTTTTTTTAACCCGTTCTAAATGGTTTAAACTGGCCAGTATTTACCAGAGCTGTTAGATCGACTTAATTTGGACCCATGGGACTCGTGACACTCAGAATTAATCTAATCCCATTTACACCAGGTGCCTTCCATCACAATCTGTTTGATCAAGTGTGGAATTATTTCATTCCATTGGAACCAGCTCTTGAATCAGTCAGAACTGGCTCTGCTAGGCTCGGGGCCAGTAGTAGGCAAAGTGGTGTTTCTTTTGCCTAATCTCTTGGGTTGCTGCTTTCCCTTTTGTTAATTATTTTTTTGTCTAGAGGACAGTCTTCCTTGGGAGCTCCCTGCTGCTCCCACGAAGCGCACCGCACCCAGCCCTCGTGCCGCCTGGCTGTGGGGCAAGGAGCTTGCGTTCTGCCATCTCCTTCATTGACCTCCACGAACACTTGCACTTTCAAAACAGCCCCTGCAGGCAAGCTTTAGAGGCGGTGATAAACAGGCTGACTCAAATTTAGGGAAACGCCTGTATCAGGACAGCCTCTTCAAATGTTTGTCACCCCCCCCCCCCCTCTCTGGAAGAAAGAAGGGACAATTCTTCACAGTCACTCTATTTCCTGCCTTCCCAGCTCTGAACACCTTGGCTCGAATGTAAAGAATTTAGCTCTGAATTAGGAGTCAAAACACTGGGCCCTAGTCATTTTCCTGCCATTAACTAGCCGCGGCTCTTTGGTCGTGCCCTTTTGTGGGCAATAATTTCCCAATTAGTAAAACGAAGGGATCAAAATTTGATTTTTATTATTATTCATGATGAGGACTTTTTCCCCCCCCAACAAAATAGTACCCTGAATAAGACGGGAAAGAAGACCGCATGGCTCTGGCTGTCAGGGCGTGTGTGTCTCCTCCCCATGCGTCTAACCCCAGTTGGGATTTGGAGGAGCCCTCCAAATTGTCCTTTTCCCTTGGCCTCGGGAGGAGCCCAGCGCGTCCTGCCTCGCGTGGGAGTGTGTGTGTGTGACCAGGGCTCCTTCCCGGCCTTGGAGAGGTCGCCGCCCTCTTCTCGCTGGAGTTGACCGCTACGACTTGCCTCGCCGGCTCCCCGCTTTGCCTCCACCCCATCCTGATGCTGCGGGAACTGCTGTGCCCCCGTCCGTGCCACGCCCGTCCTGTGCCCCCGTCCTTCAACGGGTCCCCACAGACCTCAGGATAAGAAGAAGGCGGAATTCAGGGCCTGGTCTCAACCGCCCTCTCCCTTTTCGTCTCCCTTAGACGGCCCTGGCCACCTGAGGCACTCTGCTTTCCGCTTTCGCCCCCTCCCGCCCCCGGGGCTCTGTCTAGACGGTGCCCCCTCCTACTGGGTGATGTCTCTTCCCCCGGGACCCAGGGACCGTCCCGCTGTTGCTGACCAAGGGGATCGCGGGGGCGGATGGGGGCCGCCCTTCCCGAGGCGGCCGCCAGGGGGCGGCAGGAGCGGCCCCAGATGACAGCGGGAGGCCGCGAGGCGGGAGGGAGGAGGGACGCGGGGAGCGCGGATCCCGCTCTCGGATCGCAAACTCGGAGCCAGAGCTCTCCGCGCGCGCCTCAGCCGCCGGCCGCCCGCGCAGCCCGACGCGGACTCGGGGCGCAGCGGGAGCCCGTGCAAGGCGGGCGCGGGGCGGCGGCGGCGGCCGTCCATGCGGCGGCGCTCGGGGCTGCCGGGCGCCGGGAACCACGCGGGGGCGAGGCGAGGCGAGGCGGCCGCCGGCCGCTCCGGGACGCGGACCGCCAGGTGAGCAGAGCCGCGCGCCTCGCGCCCCCTGCGCGCCGCCGTCGCGGCCCCAACCCAGCTGCCGCCGCTCGGGCTCCGGCCCCCGCTCGCTGGCCGGCGGGGCGGGCCGGCGCGGGCGACCCGGTGGGTGTGTCCGGGACGCCGCGGGCGGCGCCGCTCCGGGCTCGGGGAGCCAGCGCGCGCCCGGTCCGTGCCGACGGCTGCGCCTCCTTCTCGGGTTCTCGTCCTGACCGGAGTCTCGCTCTGCGCTGGCGCCGGCGCGCACCCCTCCACCCCCGACTCTCAAACTCCAGGAGCCGTCCGCCTCGGCCGTCCCCGGGTCGGGGCCCGCGCTCCCTGGGGCGGGTCGGAGGGGGAGCCGGAGTGCACACCCAGCCCGTGCGCCCCCCACCGCAGCCTCGCCTCCCTCCCGCCTGGGGCGCCAGAGCCGGGCGAGTCTCCGCCAGCGCTCCCCGCGCCCGGCCCGAGGCCTCGGGTCTGTGTGTGTCTCAGCTTAGCCGCTGCCACCCGGCGAGCCCTGGAGCCCGAGCGGATGGGTTGTTTCCGCCCACCCTGGACGCTTCCTCAAGGGCAGCCCCAGTACCTGCGGCCCCTTGGCGCACGTACAGAAGCAGCTTCTGCAGGGCGAGCTCACCTTGGAGCTCTACAGATCTGGAAGTTAAGCTTGCTTTTTCTCTGAAATCACATCAGCCCTGACCTGGGAAGGGGATTTCAGGGCGTTCTCGGGCCCACCTAAGTATCTGGAATTTGTGGTCTAAAGAGTTTTCTAAGCAATTCACACCCGGCGCCGTGCCTCCCAGTCCCCTTTGCCTTCTGTTAAAAGTGCATGCTTGCTTCTCTTCCTGTCTTCTTTTCGACCCCCACCACGCTGCCCTTCGCCCTTTTCGGGCAGTGAGTCTAAAGTCTTGACGTGGGTAGCAATCATTGGATGCCTGTTGGAATTTGGAATAAGAGAAATAGAGACCCGAGAGAGATCTGAGGAATTGTCTCAGCCAACCCTCCTTTCACAGCTGGAGGCACCCAAGACCCAGAACAGTCTAAAGATTTTCCCAGGATCACACAGCTTTTAAAATCTGCATGTCTTCTACTTGATTGATGTTGTTGGAGGTTATGCAGTAACTGGGCTTACTAGGGTCTTGCTGGGTCTCAATATACAAAGAAGCAAACATTTTAAAAATGTGACTTAAATACAGAACTCCTCAATTCCTATAGATTTTTGTTGGCATCGTAGTTGAATTCCTTTAGAAAACAAAATCCTAGCCCTGAAATTAATGCGAGGAAGCAGATGGGCATCCTGGGACTTTCCTACAAATC